GAAGGGAGACGGGAAAGGAGACCACAGATGTAAACCCTCCTGGTAGCTTTCACCTTCAGAAGTGAGAAGCTGGGGGATATTTGAAGAGTGGGGGCAGGGAGATGGATAGAAAAAACAAAACAAAAAACGCATGGTTACTCTGTAGAACAAATATCCACAGGAAGTTCTGGGCTGAGACACCTCTGCTAGGTTAAGTTCAAAGGAGTGTTTTTCAACTGGTGAACTTTTTCTTTCCTTTCCTCCCTCCTCTTAGCCCAGTGCCTCATGTTTAGTGCGTGGACTGAAATCTTTTTACTTTACGTGCTTTAGTGTTTCAGCTAATGTTGTGACGTTTAATAATAAGATCAAACTGCATATGGATGGAACTTGATACGTTAATAACAGCTTTCACAACCTTTAAAACTTAGTCATTTTAAAATTAAGCTTACTGCTCATGTCATCACAGCAATCAGTGAAGTGAAGAAGGCATTATTCCGTCTCACTCTACACGCAGGGAAACTGAGGCCCCGGGACTCATTTGCTCCAGGTTAAACAACTGCAAGAAATGGAATCAAAACCCGTGTTTTCTGATTTGGAAGCACTTGCTTTTGCTCCATTCACATAGACTTTCACAGAGATTTTCCAGGTTAAATTCCATTCACCTTGACTTTCAGCCCCATGTAATAAGGATTTGATCATATGAACTCTCTCCTTGACCTTAGTTTTATCTGTCTTAGTGTAGAATATATAAATGTTTGAATTTATCAGCATCGGGTGATTATTCAACAAACATGGCGAACATCTGACAAGGTCAGGCCCTGAACTCAGCTCCAGGACTACAAAGACCAAGAAGAAGCAGCCTTTGCTCTTGGATTGCCCATTGTTTATCCCAAGGGATATGGCCATGGAGAGATAAATGACAAAATAACAGATGCTGTGAGAGACACATAAACAAGAAGACCTGGACACACTGAGGCCACAGCATCTAATTCTACCTGGGGGAGATAGGGAAGGGGATGATGTCAGAGCTCTGCCTTCAAGGAGGAAAGGGGTTTGCCAAGTGGTGAAGAAGGGGGAAGGGTACTTTGGTGAGAGGACACACCGCACTTTTAGCACAGAGTGAGAGAAATGCCCGGGGGCCTGAAGCCTGGAGATGCTTCAGGGAGGCACGGCTGGATAGGGGCCAGCTTGCTGAAGTCTCTGCAGACCCAGCTGAGGAATTTGTACCTGTTCTGTAGGCAGTGGGGACCACCAGAGGATTTTAAGCAGGTTATTTGATATTTAGAGGAAGATTCAATAATACGGATATATGGCTATTAACCTTCTGGGACTCAGTATAACTTGGTTAAAGATGAATTTTCCTACAGACAGAGCCGTGGTTCTGAAGCCGCAGCAGTTACCAGAATTCCCCACAGGGCTTTGTTAACACACAGGCTGTAGGTTCCCAGCCCCAGAATTTCTGATTCAGTGGGGCTGGGGGCTGGGGCACTGGAGAAGCTGCCTATCTAACAAGTTCCCAGGTGATGTTCATGTGACTAGTCCAGGGTCACGTCTTTTGAAAGCTACTGCTTTTGGGAAGAGTTTGTTGCCTGGAGAGGACCTAGAAAGAATACCTCTAATTTATTAATAAAGTAAAATGGAAACAAATGGTATTTACTGAGGCATTTGAGATACAATAAAGGTTTAAAAAAATCAGAACCAGGGGTTGCAGTCATCATCAAATAATATGAAAAACAGAAGTATGCATGAGGCCCTGTGCTAAATGCTTAGAGAGCAAGCTGACTGGGCCTGACTGTGTGTTCTCCCAAGATGACACCTGGGGGAAGACGGAGACAGATAACTGATCAGTCTTCAGTTTACCGCTAATGGGTCTTGTACTGTTGTCATTCAAAAAAAAAAACAACAAAACAAAACAAAACAAAACATTTAGGAAGCAGAACTATAGCCGGGATAGAAGTTGTCATAAATTCTGAGATTTGCACCAAAATTATTCTGTCACATTGCTGAAATTTGGGGGTGGAGGGAGGAGGTATGTAGCAATCACAGACCATCTTATGTGGCAAAATTGTCTCATGATTATGAATCATCTGACCATTAATCGGGTGGAAAAAGGGAAAAGCAGGAGTTGAGTAACAACAGGAACGTGTTTGGAGCGGGCGACTGGACCGTGTAATGCGTGTAAGGGACGGTAGGGCTTTTGGTTTCTAAAATAGATGTCTCTCTAGGACTCTTTCTTTAAACCTCTGCTCTAGGAGGTAGTATTCTTTTTGTCTCGATTATAAACAGCCTCTGAACGTGACAGGAGTGGGTTTCAGACGAACCTTCCCATGTCTGCAGTGACTAACCTTCTGTGACCTTCAGTCTGCGCTCTCAATCCGGGGAGTCTGTTTCATGAAATATTGATAGAGGAGATGACTTCAGAGCAATGCATACAGAATGGATGATGTTTCTTTGATGTGTTAAGCCATCCTCCTGCCTTAAAGATGCTGAGGCAGAAAATAGCCATTAAAAGAAACCGTTCTTAGGAGGACTCCTCACTTGATTGACAACTGCAGTTAAGTATGCATGACAGGCTTCAGACCTCTCTCCTCCTGAGTGGTAGCAGCACTAACCCAGCCCTCTCCAACAGGTAACTCCCCAAGGTGCTGGAGGGTCTACCTGCCAGACAGAAGACAGCGTTGTTCACCTGGATTGCTGCAGTCAGCTAGGGAGATCTCCTTTGCCTGCCTCTGGTCACCCTCGTCTCTACTCCATTCTTTCAGATCAGTTGTTTTCAACTGGTGCGCCCAGACACACAGGCGGACTTGAACTTACTACAGGTCTAAAGACACATTTTCATTAGCATGTGAAAGTAATTTTGGATACAACCAACGAGAACAACCACAGAGCAGCAACACCAACTAACATGTAGATGACTCTCAGCAGGTGCCAGGTGCTACCCTAAGTGCTTGACATGCATCATTGACTTAATCCTCAAGAAAGACCTAACGAAGTAGATTCTGCTGCTGATCCCACCTTCAGATGAGGAAACTGGGGCAGAGAGAGGGAAACTTGCCTAAGTTACCACCAATAGTAAGCGGCACAGCTGGGTTTCAGAATCTGCTCCTGAAATATCGTCAGGATGAAACAAATACTCTTCCCGCTAGACGTTCGCTAAGCTGATTCCTGCCCATCTTTCGAGATCCAGCTCAATGATCCTCCTCTTTGCCACGTTCCCTGCTTCCTTCCCACTCCTCCCCTGAAGGAGAAATTGCAGCTTTATCTTGCTCCAGGAACAGCCCTTGATAATAGTGCTTATCCCGCCATGGTTGATGCATTAATCACCCTGCCAGTCTGAGAGCTCCAGGCTGTGACTTATTCACGCCTGTGTTCGTCTGTGTCCTGTAAGGTCTGAAAGGCTGTTGATCTTCAGTAATTCTGTCGTTGAGCTGAAGGAGTGGAAATCAGGATATTTTATGTATGACTTTTTAGGAGGAAATTGCATCTCCTTTCAAATAGATTTTAAAAGCTAACTATTAGTATTCTGAATTCGATTTCATTCTATTACACAAACAGTATTAAGAGAATGGCTAAGGTGCCTGCATTCCGGACCTTAGAGACTAGCATGGGAGGCACATTACCTAATTATGGCAGCGAGTCTGAACACTCTAATAACAGAGCAAGGAGACTAACCTGGCCCCGGAGGAGGGGAGGTTTCCCTGAGATAATGACACTTAAACTGAGACCTAAAAGGAGAAAAAGAATTAGTCAGGTGAGGAGGGGGAGAATCATATTCTCTGCTCTGACCTGCCAAAAAAACAAAAACAAAAAACAAAAAACAGCAAGATTCTCGCCCACTCTGGAGATCTTATGTTCTTTCAAGACACGGATAAAATTCTGCTCTCGCCAAAAAATTTCCCTGAATGTTTTAGCTTTGTGACTTATTTCCTCTGAAATCCTACATTCACAATATTTTACAATAAATGTGAACGTCAGGGGTGTGTCCCATATTGGGGCACTGGGTTATTTCATGCAAGGACAACCTTGCATGTTAGGTATATCTTTCCTTTTTTCAGATGAGAAATTGAGGCTTGGTGAGGTCAGGTGAATTTTCCTAAAATCTCATAACTGGTAAGAGCAAAGGAGAGAGTTGGATTTCAAATTTAGGCGTGTTTGGTAGTTTTTGCAAGAGTTCTATTAGGCAGGTACTCTTATTTCCATTTTACAGATGGAGAAACTGAGATCCCAAAAAATTGGCCCCAAGTGACAAAGCTCTTGAATGTGGCAGGCTCTGGATTCCAGTTCAGGTCTGTTTTCCTCCAGAGACTGTGCTCTGAAGGGCTGGGACTAAGAAAGTTGCTCGGTAGACTCCCTCTGGTCTGAGCCCATGTGCCAGCTCCATGATTGCTGTCCTGAGGCACTCTTGTGACTCTAGACTCTTGCTACCACAGGGTGGCCATCCATGGACCAGTGACACCACCATCACCTGGGAGCTTATTAGCAAAACAGAATCTCAGGCCCCATCCTAGATCTATTAAATCCAAGTCTGCATTGTAACAAGATCCCCGGATAATCCCAGATAATGCTCTCACATAAGGTGGGCCTTAGAATTGCCCTTGCAATGACAGACAGTGGAGTGTTGGCTTTCTGGGCCCCAGGACAGGTCAGTTCTTAGACTCTAGACTTGTGGAGAGTCCTGGGGCTCTGGACTGGGCTGGATTTTCTCAATGACCCCTAGGAGGTCCTGGTGCCCTGTGGAGACTGAGTCCATGGTAGGATCTTTGAGCTGGTGTCTAATATATCAAGGGCCCCTCTGGGACTGCTGTTACCTGTGAGCTACATTTTTAGCTTGTGGCAGTTTGTAAGCTACAGATTGAAATTAAAACACACCAATAGCATGATGAATTTTAATATCCTTGGAGGGAAAAAGAGATAAATATCATGCTCACATTATAAAAGGACTTGCAAGAGCCAAATAACATTTCCCATAAACCCCTGCAAATGTGTAGCAGGATTCTGTCTGTGTTCCAGCCAATAAAAGGCCAGAATAACACTACTGCTTTTTAATGAAATCGGCCATCTTTATCTTTAGAGGTGACTATTTGTGCTCATCTGTTTATTCATTCATTCATGAACACTTACTGAATGCTGGGCACAACCCTTTACTGAGAAAACTATATATTTTTTTATTACTCAGTATAGCAAGACTATACCAAAAAGACTGAACACTTGCTACATAAGGTGATAACTAGATGATTTAACTCTTGAAAAACCTGGGTCCTATTTCCTCCTCAATTGGAAGGAAAGGACTTCAAAAATAGCGCTGTTCATGGCATTTGTGAATATTTGTGCTTCTTGCTGGATAAAAGCAAGTGCTGGTAAAGCAGAAGAAATAAAAATTATACTGGGTGTGGCAAAGTCCTAGAGACTGAGGTCACCTTCTTTTCTACTTTGATTAGATTTTCAAGACAACTTCTGCTTCATGTGAACCTGTCCCGCTAAGGGATCGTGTTATAGGGGAGTGTGTGTGTGTGTGTGTGTGTGTGTGAGAGAGAGAGATACAGAGAAATAGAGGCAGGGAGAGAAACAGAGAGGACTATGTACATAAGCCGAAATAAAGGCCAAGACTGTCTGAGTGGTTTGTTTTTATTTCTGTTTCTTGTGGGAAAGAGACTCCTTTCCAGCTCTGAGTGCCAGAGCTGACAGCAGGTATTTAGTATTCATTTTTTTTTCTCTCCAAAGTTTAGTCTATGGGGCTGAAAACTGTGGTTGCAACATTAAACAGTCTAAGTGCACTGTCTCTGCGCCAAGTCCTGTGACAGAAGGGCTTTGCTAGTACACGCCAGGGAGGCAAGGGCTCCGGAGGCCCTCTCTTTCTCTTTTCGAATTAGGTCATGACGATTTAAGGGCTCACCACTTGGGGTGACTGCGAGTTTTCCAAGTTGGCATGATGTATGGTTCTGAAAAGATAGTCACCAGCTCCAAGAATGCCTGTGTCGTCTGCCTACGAGGTGTTTACACAGAAAGCAAGCGAGCACGGAAATAATGAATTGGCTTGCCGCTGGAGTTGTGCTCAGTTTCGGATTTTGCGCGCGTGTGTGTGTGGTTTTGCTTGGAGGCCTGTTTTCAGAATTGATATTATATATTTCACAACTGGAAGGTGCCCACGAGCCCCTCTGCGTAGCAGCAGTGTCCTGAGGTGGAGGGTACTAATCTGATCCCAGCCAGAAGCCGGGCCACCCAGGGAGAGTCCGAGAACAGGAAAACTCCTGCTTCTGTGCTTCCTATGTCTCTTCTGTCCTCTTCCTTTTGTTCCTGCAGGGATTCAAAATATGAGCATCACTGTCCAAGCAGAGGAAGTCTGGGTCATATCCTGTGTGCGGGAGCTGGCAGATGCTGGTT